ACTAGGAGCAAAGGGCATCGCTACTAGGAGCAAGGACGCTACTAGACCCTCCCAACATCGCTACTAGTAACAAGAAACTACTAGGTACACGGCGGATAGACGGCCGTGGTGTAAATCAATGATGGTCGTGGGTTAAGCATGTCGAAATGCGCGTAATTCCTTCAGGAATGATGTGCCCAACGTTTCATCAGTGGAATCATGGTCAATTCCAAGCAGATTTGCCTGAAATGAGAGTTTCGCTGAGGCGAAATGCTGATTTCGAAGCATTTTGGAAACTACGTAACTAATTGGGCCGTCGGAAAAAGTTGTGACTTTTTCAGTCTGAGTCTTCACAAGAGCTCCTCCAAGCGGCGCAAGAACTGAGCCGGTGTGGCATAGGTCAAGCTTTGGCGCAGCAACTGAACGCAGCATCAACTTCATGCAGCAAGTGCAACCGAACGTTAACATGCCCCACCCCACCCCACCCCACCCCCCCACCCCATTCCCACACGTAGCATCCACATCCCCCTCAAGCAAACATGCAAAACGACGGCGTAGAAAACAAAAAATCAATAAAAATGCAAGAAAACACCACGGCCGTCTATCAGCCGTGGGCCTTACTACTAGGAGCAAGAGGACGCTACTAGGAGCAAAGGGCACGGCTCCTGACGCTAGGTGGGTGGTCTCGATGTGCGTCCGTTAGCCGCCACTGGGCGAGAGATGGGGGAGAGGTGCCGGGGGAGTTCGGGACACGTTCGACGAATGTTTGGCGGTGGATGACATCATCTACCTGGATTTCAAGGTCGAATCTCTTAGAGAAAGGGAAAAGAGGTCGGGCGTTTGGTGCATTGGAGCTAAAATGTCAGTTTCTTGGGTTGAGTTTCTTGTTTTCAGAATAGGGTTGAACCCAGTTGATGCAAAGGAAGGCAGGCAGCGTTTCGCTACGCCTTCGAACGGCCATCCCGTTCGAATCATGCAACTAGGAGCAAGAGAACGCTACCAGGAGCAAAGGGCATCGGCACTAGGGCCAAGGACGCTACTAGGGGCAACCGACCCCCCCCAAACCTGCCCAACTGCGTGCCGAGGAGCTGTGTCGGTCCATCGCGGCAATGGGCTTTACGGTGGTGCGCTTGCCATTTTCCAGCGGCTTGGAGCAGGGCGAAAAACATCAATGTGACTGGCGGATGGGTCGGAAGAAGGGATCAGGAGGATCGATCAGAATGGATCGACTTAGTGTCAATCAGTTGGATGTTCTTTGTTGAAATGAGATGGTGAGACGGATTGAAATGTGACGAATGAGTTGACGAAGTGGAGCTGACGCTCCTCCTTGTTTCAAGGGAGATGTTTTAACTTCTTGGGTGTTCTGCTCTTGACGTGCTGAAGCAATGAAGCACTCTTCAGTACAGCAAGAGCGTCAAGTTTCTTATGAGGCTTTTGAGTCGCAATCAACTTGATTGGAATGATGCTGGTTGTTTACGTGCTGTAGGGATCTGTAGGGCAATATTTAAGATGTGCTTCACTGGAGCCTCAGTCTGTAAACAAAGCCATATTATGTATATATATATATAGTTGTTATATATATACATTATGTATCACAGTGGTACCTGGTACCTGGTACCTGAACATGTTTTGGTTTGATTTGTGTATATATAATTAATGTCATGTGGCCAAATAGCCTTAAGAGGCACAGTAGGAATACAAGATTTCTCCTCTATTATGTTTTCTCCAAGTCTGCGGAGGCTGTGTCAAAGATCACAGTCTCGCCGAGACGGGCAGTATCACAAGAAACCATCGTTACTGGAAAGATTTATATATTGTTACTAAGAGCGATGGCCTCCCATCTAGTGGCTTCTAGGAACAAGAAGCTACTAGGGGCTCCTGGCCTTACTACTAGGAGCGAGGAAGCTACTAGGGGCTCCTGGCAGCGCTACTAGGAGCAAAGGACGCTCCTATTGGCTTCTAGTTACTAGGGTGACAGTCCCGAGACTTCCCCACCGAGCCAACATCGCCAACATCGCCCAATGCGCCGGCGCCCCTGGTCGTAACCCAGGAGCCCGAACAGTCGTAGCGAGCGGCTCGTCCAACCGGTCAACTGTTCGGTATCCGTGCAACGTAGCAAGAAGCTAGGTTGGAGGCCATTGCTAGCAGTAACCAAAGTACTAGAAGCTAAGCCAGGTGAGATGCTGCGAATTGACGGTGTCCCAGAAGGCCACGGTCCAAGTCGTCGCCTGGGGGGGAGGAGAGCGGAAGGATTCAAAAAGACATGTATGGTGTCAAACCAGCTGTGGGAGGCAGGTAGTTGCAGGTAGACCACCCAAGACCTGGGGTCTCACTAATTCACACAATGTTTTGGTTTGAATATCGGGCACAAGTACCTCGTTTGATTACGGCGAACTTGGCAGCAAGCTGTTGGAGCACTGGCCAATGCTTTCTGTCTCGATTCTCAGGACCATGGACATTCAGAGTGGTTACAAAGAAGAATTCTCCATGTGGTTCAAACAGATTCTCCATGAGTATGGCAATCCATGCCTGGTGTTAAAAGGGATGGCCAATGTGTCTTTGATGGTCCAAACTTCTGCCGTCTCCAAAAAAACGTCTCTACACCTGTCTCGTGGTTGGGACGGGCCAGCAGGTGCCATCGATTATAACATCAACAAAGACCTGGAAGGACTTTCGCCCCTGCAAGCGCCCTGGCTCTGAGGTTCATTGACCACAAACGTTCTAGGGCACACCATTGGACATGATTGTAGCAGTGTTTGAAAGGACGTAAGAAAGGACAGCCAGTGCATTCACTGAACGGGATGGCCGTGGCCCTGAGCCTCAGAGCCGAAACTCGATCGTTTTCGACGTCAGGTCTACGATCGTGTGATCGATGAGTTGGGCGCTGCAGGTGTGACCGTGCCTTGGCGCTGACAGTGACCAGGGCGATGTTAGCGCCATCAAACCAAGACCGAGGTTGCAAAAAAGTATAGGGGTTTTGCTAACAACAGAGCAAACAAATCCTAATCAGTTGTGGATCGGGCTTTAGTTCAGGCAGAACATGAATCATTGCAGGGATGTCCTCAAGTTGAAATTTTGTTCTAGCCCTGCAGAAGCAGCTATTTTTGTCGCTGACCATTTGTTCAGGTTTAGCTCAAAATCGAGTTCCGCACTTAGTCCCAGCAGATCATCCAAATAAACACCCAAAATCTCCAGCCAACAGGGGGGAGTGCTCCCCAGTTGTTTTTTATGCGCGTCATGGCACGTAGAATCAGTGCCGTGCCACCCTCCCTGCCTGGCGCCGAGGTCGTGATTAACAATCACACCACGGTGGGTGCTTGGAGTGGCGGCGTCGAGTTGAACGGCATGTGGTTTCGCCACCCGGAGCGATCGGAAGGTGTTCCAGGGAGGAACAAAACAAACAAACACACACACACACATAGCGATGGCCTCCAACCTAATAGCAATGGCCTCCAATGTTTGATTTTGGGGTTTAATGGGCAAAGATCCTGGAAATCGGGAACTGCAAGGAAAGGTGGGAGGTCAGAGGCGCAAAGGCACCTGATCAGCGCGTGTTGGGTGGCTCCCTTGTGGGCTGATCCTAATCATTTCATAGGTTGTGCAGATGCCCAGCAGAACAACAAGTTCAAAACACGACTAGAAAACACGACTAGACTACATTGTTCAAAACACTTGCACCAACCAGTGTATTTGGTCCTTCCCATGTTTCTTGTTCTGGAGCTCAGAAACATCACCTGGACACCACCAAATTGCATGCATCTTCATCTGCAATTCACATATCATTCTGGATTTCGGTAGTGCATGGCGCATGAGTGAACGCAAACCTGCGGTGAAACGACCGGGGTAATCATCGCGCGGCCACAGTGTTCAGCGCAGTGAGGCAACCAGTGTGAGATCTACACTGAGCAGTCCTGGATTGACGCCCCCCCGTCCGCGGTGAGCCAACCGGGCGCCTCGGGGAAAGAACCTAATAGCAATGGCCTCCAACCTAAGAGCGAAGGTCGGCATAGGAGCCTCTCAGGATGGGTGTTTGTCCAGATATCCGATACCCGCGTGCCTGTTGATGCTGAAGTGTCATAGGAGCCACATGCATTGCTGTTCGGTCTTTGCTGTCGGGCGTTGCTCTTATGAAGAATACAGTGGCCGGGAGTGAGGGTTAGATGTGGGAGGTGTGAAGGATTCCAATCACCTAGGGAATCTAAGGAGATTTATGGTGCAAAGATGATTGAGTACAAAAGTTATATAGTAACAAGAAGCTACTAGGGGCTCCTGGCCATACTACTAGGAGCAAGAAGCTACTAGGAACCCGGGCATCGCTACTAGGAACAAGGACGCTACTAGGAGCATTCTTAGTAACAAGAAGCTGTAATACACACTGGATTCATCATGGAAGTGGAGGCATGGCCCTTTTGGATGACCACTTTCCTCTACACCACATCGCACGGATCGATCCCGCTCCGTTAACCCCCCCTTGGTGATTCAGTAGGTAATGGAAAATGACAATATCAACATGATGCAAGTGTTATGCCGCTATGTTCCTCTACTAATTGGTGGTTTGCCACTTCCATGATGATTCCAGGCAGTGTTTAACGGGATTATACTCCCGACGGATCCAGCTGCAATCCTCAGAAGTAGTTGGAAGAAAAGGGAAGTGATGTGGTTTTTCACACAGCTCTTCAAACCAATATATATATATATATATACCTGGACCCTGAAAAGATGTCATTGATCCGTCTCACCTGAAAGCATGATGCAGAAAGATGCAACAAGTTCTTAAAACATTGCACCAAAATTACACAGGAGTGACAAACAATAACGCAGAAGTAACAAACATCAACCCCAAAATTGCTTCTTGCATATCCTTTTTGAGCTTCGCCTGAAAATTGTCTTCACCGGAAAACGGACGTCCTTTGCGGGGTCTAGGTACCGTATGCCTTAGCATGCAGAGGACAAGTTTCTGCGGTTGATTTGCATACACTAGGGCTTTCATTTGGTGCTTTGAGGCTTCCCCTCTTTCCTTTGACTTTAAAGGTGTGTATTTGCATGAGTGTATATAATAGAAGCCCATACTGCCTCCTTATGAAGCACTGACTACTGAACACTGACTACCGAATGGCAAACCACTACTGTGCAGGACTGCAGTGTTGGGCAGTTGGAAGCTTCGACGATGTTGGACATGATTGAAACAGAAGGGTTGCGTTGATGGCGCAGTTGTTCATCAACTTGTTTGTTTCATCGTGTCGTAAAGTCTTCCTTGTCTTCTTCCAAGGATTGGGTAATGATGGCGAAGCGCTACGAGCACCAGCCGCAGGTCATCGGGTATGATATCCGAAATGAGGTGTCTTGGAGAACAAGAGGAAGTGCCTTATCCTTGTAACATGTGTTTGTTTTGCTTGTGTAGGCAAGATTAATCCAATCTACCAAGAGATCCATGCCCACTTGATACGCTTGATAGGCTAGTGATGTACAAACGCATGGGATGGGACGCACGGTCGAACAAATGGGCCCCGCTTTGTGCTATGCAGTTTAGAAGTTGCCATGAGTAGACGAGGTGTTCTGTAGGCCAGCACCTGCTGAGGAACGAGCTCAGACACAGGTACGAAAGGTGTTGGTTACTTCCTTAGCCCAAGTATCCCCCAGATTCCCCCAGCAATCCCAACATTTGTGGTGAAATCGCTCTTGTCTCCCCAATCACCAAATCACCCAAGAATCACCTTCTCATTCTGGCACCAGGAAGAAGCTCGTAAAATCCCCCGGTGCGGAATTTCTGAACCAGATTGGAACATGTGGGGAACCTAACATGAAGCATGAAAGGGAACATGGGACATGACCCGAACCCAAACACACATCGCACCTTTTCTCGCTGACTCATGTCATGCGTTCGAACGACGAATGGCTCGGCCTTGAGCCAATGCAGGCATAGGATCGGTTGATCCGTGCACCATGGTTGGGAATCCATCCACAACGAAGGTTGACAATGGCCACATTGGCGACCTTCTGGATATCTAGAGCTTCAACTCATAGACTCCCAAAACTTGCATAGTAACCTTCACGGTCACAACTGGAAATGGCTGGATCACGAGTGATTTCAACTTTCCACACCCCCCTTTTGTGACCGTCATTTGAGGAACAGTTGCGAACAAAATGCTTGGCGTCAAAAAATAACTGCACATACAGGAGATTATTCGAAAGTTCAATCTTATCTGAGATTCATTGAAGATCTTTATCAAAGTCGTGACCGGAGCTCAGGCACGCTCAGAAAGGTCACACCTAAGAAAAGCTCTGAGAATATTTCACTGACAAATCAAGCTGAAAGCTCAACCGAAGAAGGCGTTCACTTGACCACTTTGGCTTCTGGCCCGAACAGTGATGGCGTTTCATCACCTGGCACGGACAAGCTTGAGGACATTATGTATTATTTAGAACACTAAGCAATGCTGGCGGACGACGGAAGGCGAACTGCATCAAAGCACTGCTTTCTTTTTCAGTTGGAATTGGCCATCAACTGTCAAACAAAAAGGAACGGACGCTGACCACAAATGCCGTTGCTTTATTCGGTCATGGAGTTTACAGCATATACATTATGTCAACGTCTAGAACTTACGATTTTGAAGGCTTGGTCATGAAGTTGCATTGAACTCTTTCATCATTTATCCAAGCTTTGGCAATCGTGGTGATAGCTTAATTTGGTCTGCATGTACCATCCTAATTTTACATAGAGTATCGCTCATTTGATCCTGATCCGGCTCCAGATGCTTTTGACGGAGCTTGACAGGGAGGCATGCAAACCTTGCAACAAACTCGCTCAAGGATCGGGCCCCAGCGTGGACACTCACATTGGTCCATTGCATTGACTGCATGGCAGACATGGTTCTGAATGCCCATCTTCATGCCATATTTGTTGACGCTCAAAAGATCTCGGCCAAAACATGCACTGCACATGTAGACCTCCTCGGTCTTGGTGCTACGCCTCAACGAACCACAGCTCGGAAGGTGAACCTTTCCGGTAGACTCGACGCTCAAGAGCTTTCTTCCCTTGTACATATTGTACCTTGACTGCAGCTCATCGGGCATTGTCTTCGGCACATTAGGCATGGCAGCTGTTGAATGGCGTTCATGGATCTGGGGCTCATCTTCCAAACTCAATAGAGGAAGATTCCGGCGGCGACCTCTTGATGAAGATGCGGATGGTGCTTCAGACATATTGGATTCGGCCTGATCATCTTTTTGATCTCGAGAAGTGCTACGCTCACGACGGCGGCTTGATGAACGAGATCTTGGCGTTCGTGGTGAACGATGTCCAGCTCTGTTCGAGCTGCGATCTTGCCGTGTCAAAACACAGCACAACGTCATCACCTGCAATAGCACCATGAGAAACATGATCTCAGCCAACATCCACTGGGAACAGAAATCAGGCTTTGCGTTAAAGCTTGAGCGGAAACTTATCGGTTCATATATCTATATATTTGGCTTCTGTTGCAAGACAATTTGGGTGTACTCACCAAAACAATCCCACTATATATTTGGCTTCTGCTGCAAGACAATTTGGGTGTACTCACCAAAACAATCCCACGGCATGGCTACTGATTCAGTTAGAGCTATCAATTGGGTGACTGACGAGATTCGGCACACTGAACAAAATGTCATTCCACCCTGGCTCAAACATGATGTATCCACCTCCCGATGCTGATGGCTCGGCGCGGCTTATGGAGATCACTCCACTGGCAATGACCTTGCAAAGATTCTCTGGATAGCGGCCGGTAGATGTCCAATCGACTGAGTTGAATGGGAGGTGATACGAACAACTGCATTCTTTTGCATGTTTCGAGAACTTACGAACAATTGTGGGATGCGATCCAACCCACAAGAAAACTTTGAAGACTGGCACATCGAAAGAACACAACTTTGGGAATTCACAGAACAATTTTCTTCCAATGTTCTTCAATGACTTGTGAAGCTGTTCACTCTTCCAATAGTTATTTCTCTTAGGCAACTCAAAAGAAAAGTGACTCGAACTTGCACAAATCTTCTCGCACAAACTGAGCAAATGGAAGAATGTGTCATGACGATGCTGCTTCAAGGATTCATTCTTATTCAGATTCTGAATGTTACTACCTCCTGTGCACGGCAGTGAACAATGGGAAAAAACTGAAACCTTTGTGCCTCGAAAGCAGCTGGATGATTTCTGGCTGATGGACCTCAAGAGGACTATCCTCCGTGATTCTGATGATCAACCAGTTGTGGGGACACATCTTAAACATTATGTTGCTCAATTGGCTATTGCGGTCACAGCAAATCTCCAAGAAGATGTTCTCGAATCTTGGTGCCCGAACTTGCGATATGGATCTGGCGTCAATCAACAAGCTTCGGATGGCCTCAGGTTCTGACACACTAGATGGGCTGCCCGGCAACATATCAGGGACAGAACTGGCAGAATTTTCCTTTGGTTCATTTGCAGGGACTCCGGAATGACTGCTCGGCAGTAAATCCGAGTATGCTACCTGTTGAGACTTCATGGACTTGGACTTGGCGGGCGAGGTACGGATCTGAGACCTGAGAATGAGCTCATGTGCATATGCTTCAGTGGAGAGTTCACTCCTTTCAAGATACCCCATGAGAACAACGAATCGATGAAAGAGCTTTGCCCCTAGCGTCTTGGTCAATGCATCAGCAATTTGACCTCCGGCATCGATCCAATTGAGTTTAATCTTACCTTGCTTGACTAGCTCTTGACAAAAATAAACACGCAATTCGACGTGTCTTGATCGCCTCTGAAGCCCACTGGCTTGGAGTATCCGGATTGCAGCCTGAGAATCGCAATACATTTCGATGATAGCATCGGGTTGTTCAACACTTTGGGACACAGTCGAATCAGCTTGGGCTTTGGCAGCAAACAGGAACGATGCAAGATGAAACACCTGATTGCACCCGAAGAAACTTTCATGGATTGCACGCATATCATTATCGATACCCAAGAAAAGATGCTTCGAGATCTTATTTACTCCTAATGACTCTTGACATGCATCGGCCAATGCTGACAGATTCACAACTAGAAAGTGCTACGGCTTGTTGGACCCTGGAGAATCCTTTGACCAAAGATTCCTTTGTAGAAAATCGCACTTCCTGTTATTGAGCGCCTCTTCAGGCATCTCAATGGTGCCCAGGATGCGTCGCAGAAGACCACAAGATTCCTGGATGATTGCTCATCGAATGTGGACTCCGGACTAGGGAAATGCTGAGCGATTCTTCTCTGACTAAATAGCCATTTGAGAACAGCTCGGAGGGCCAATTCGTGACGATGTTCGGGATTGGCCATGCCAGTGGCCAGCAAAGTGATGTAAATGCCTAAAAACATTAAACTTTGACACAACCACGAAAGTTTTCCAAGAGCTGCTTTGTAACGCAATGCTGCTTCAGTCGACAGAGGCTCACACTTCTCTTCATTGTCAAGGATTGGTCTCAAATCTGGAGGGCAATCACTTCCACGAACAATTCCGAAAGCTTCAAAAGGAGAATCTAAATAGTTTTCATCAATGTGCACAGTGATCTTAGATTCATTCGCCCTTCTTTCGATATTGCGTCCAAGAAAACGAAGTTTGCCACCCCCTTCTTTACTTGAAAGAATAGACCCGGTTATTTTGATCTTCAAGTGCTTTGACAAGAAATCATACACAGCATAGACATGCTCCTTGGAAGCTGAGAAGACCAAAAGGTCATCGACATAGGCAACCACCTGAACCCACGCTTTGCCGTTCTTACCATCAATCTCTCCGGCAAACACGGTTGACTCAACTGATGATGGCACAATGTTGAGCCTCTGAAGCAAAGCTGAAAGGTGATCGACCCAAGCACGGCCACTGGACCTAAGCCCGTTGATGGCTTTCCATGCTTCCAAGAAAACTGGGGATCCATCCTTATGTGTGATGTTTGGAGGGAATTTGAGAATGACACGAATGCGCTTCCCAAGTTTACGGCCTAAGGGACTTGCCATGAATGCTGCACTTACGTCGAGACCCAAGATCGTGAGGTCTTGGACTGCGGCTTCTGAGAGCATGAGTCTCAGGCTTTCGATCGACGATGTTGGAGATGAGATTTGCAAATCCTTGGCATGAAGTTGTCCACGTGCGATCTCTCGAGCAACCATACGCATACGAACGTTATCAGCGTCTTTTTGAGTGGAGACCCAACGACAGGTTATTGGCACAATATCCCATTCTTTACAAAGCTGCGTTGCTTCGTTTTGCTTGAGGACACGACCAACCTCTTGCAAAGACATGCTTCCCACTTCAACTTTCATTCCTTCCCAAGATTGATCGCAACTCAAATGAGTTCCATCAA